AAGGATTATTTAAAATTACAATAAAATACAGGCAAACACACCTCGCTACTATTTAGTATAACACCGCCGTTACAAGTGTTATTAACAAAGTCATTTACTACAAAACTAAACAGGTTTGTCTAATCGTTGAAAAGTAAGAGTGGAAAAATCTTTTTATTACTATTTTTATTGAAATGGGGGCATTAATTAACAAGCAGTCCTCCATTTGTTTGTTTTACAGCTAAGCCATATTAGGCTGTATGCTGTGTCTACCGTGGGTAATTAACCCCGGATTTTAGCGTTGTTAGTCCGTAAACTTACCGCTTTCCCAGCGGAGGACCTCCAGTGGATCAGCTGTAAGCTTATAATCTTAGAACACTAAAATTCAGGCTTCGATTCTCCGTGACAGACTTATTTCAAATAACCTATTTTTAGCTTCGTGCTAAAGAAAGTACAATCAACATGCATCATTTGTATTTCAAAAATACGTTTGAATTACCCATAAGTTTACTGAGAAAACTGATTAACCGTAATGCTCCGCCATCTAGCGACTAATGTTTTAAAATGCCTTATGTGCTGTTTGATGCTTCTTGTTAACAGATGACGGTACATAGACACTGGTTTATCGGCATTTTATACTTTGAAAATATATTTGATTTTAACATTTAAGTAATATCTATCTTTTGTCCAGATGTCGCCATATCTGAAAACTCAAAGTTTTTATCCTAAAATCAAAATGATATAATACATAAATTGGGTAAAAATGTTTAATCAAAAAAGGCAATAAAATTGAATTACATTTTTTCATGCATAATCAAGAAAGTATAAATATTCGGACTGAAATCAAGCTTTATTAAAAAAAGAAAAACTTCTTAGACACAATTAAAGCACTCTGTCTGTAAAAAGTTACAAGTTGGGTACAAAAACGTCTACTGGTCTGGTTTTGCCAAAAGTTTACAATGTCTTTAGATTTAAAAAATATTCTTGAACATCAGTCAAGTATTTCAGATAGCTACTCTCTTATTCTTAAGAAAAGTTAGAAGTACGTTACAAAAAAAGTATATTGGTCTTTTTTGCTACCAGTTTGCATTGTCTTTAACATAAAATTCATTACTAAACATCAATTTACTGAAGGAACACTCTACTGTTGCACTTCCAGCCGGAATGCAGAGTAGAATTAATGCTACTGCTGACAGAGCTGGATATCTGCCTGCAGCATCTTTCCAGGATCTCACTGCCGTAAGTCCTGGATTGTCTAGAGAAGGTTCTGGTGCGTAATGACTGAATGCTAATTGCAGAGCTTCAGTTGTTACATCTTCCACAAGGGAAAATATTTCCTTAGAGTTGTCAAATTCATGACTCTGAATTGACTTCAGAAAAAAATCCAGCACTCTTGTTTACATCCATAGCTTCTTTACATTGGTAGATACATTTCTTTCAGTTGTTCAGTTCCATTTTCCTCTTATGGCTGCACAGAATTCATTTACGGATTGCTTCACATAAGAATCATTTTAGGTGACAGTAGTCCAAAAATAATACTGCAAGTTTCTGTTAATACAACCACTGTGCTCTGTTCCAAGCAAATGGAAAGCTCGACTTCCGTAATTTGGAACATTTTGTGTAGTATAGCACCATCTGTCTCTAGCTCTTTCTACACAGCTAAAACAGGGGGTGATTTCTTTAATATCAGATATATTTTTGTTCAGATCATAGTCCCTCTTCAAGAGAGCCATCAGGTCAGCCCATATGCAAATAACAACACACAGACTCTCAAGGAAACTGGATCATCTAGTAAGAACATCTGAGGATTTCATTACAATTCTAAGTTTAGGACACTCGTTATTGTACACTTGTTCTAATTCGCAGGCATATTTAAACAAGACATCAAATCTGAGAGCCATTTTTCTAGCATCTGACATTGCAGAGCAGCTAAGGGCGGTGCCAACAGAAACATAAATTAAATGTGCCTTATCTTTAACGCACAGGAGTTTCCTGATACCTTCACCAAAATATATATATCATTCATCATCTTTTGCATGTACTGTGGAGAATCAGAAACAACGAAACTAACATTAAGATCACAGCACCAAAGTAAGGCTGACACTATTTGAGAGAACAACGTTAGAAACATCTACTAATGCAGTTTCATGATCCCCTTTCACGGCGTTATAATATAATATCAGTGTATTTACTTGGGCTTTCCCAAGACATCTGAGAACTCATCAACAATCAGACATACTGTTTTATCTTTTACTTGCTCTTTGATTTTTGTCTCAAATTTCTGCAAGACTTAAGGCAAATATAGCATTTAGATTGAACGGATTAGTACTTTAAAATATTTTGCTAGCCAAGTTTGATTACGTCTGAGAAATACAGCCAACCAATGCTGTGTGAGAACAAAGGTCATGGGGTGACACTGACGACTGGACAAAGAAAGCGAGTTTACCTGTTGAATTCAGGCGAGCTTTCTCAGTTCCGTTAGATTTGGTTTTCATCATGATTAGTTCAACAGATATTCATCTTCAATGACGGACAGCTAATGAGCTATTCACTGATCCAGTAGAGGCACTGTCCACTTACGTTGTTACATCTAAATAAAGACTGTTTTAGCCATCCTTCGCATGTCTCCAATCTTTTTATTTCTCACTCAACTTACAACTCAGTCAAGTTATCAACTACAGAAAACTCACCTTATTTGTTCATGTAATCTGATACTATTTTTGGGTTTGCCTATCTAATACTTGTCGGGAAATCAGATTTACCTGAAAACATCACAAAGTTCATGTTTTGCAGCCCAATGTCATAAAACTTCCTCTTCTATTCTATATATATGCAGATAACTTGATGGGTAGTTTTGCACAAATTCTGTAACAAAAAACAATCTAAATCTCCATACCCTTAATGTGTCACTTTACACTTAAAATAGTATTTTGGGACAACATGGGACCTATTGGTCCATCTCGGCTGTTCCATCCTCTAAAGTAAATTAAAATATTTTTTAAAAAATCTTTAAACTAGCCCTTATCATTCGTATACTTATCAAGCTTTTTCTGAAACTCACTTAAATTTACTGCTCCTACAACATCTGAAGGCAACCCATTCCAAAGGCCAACCACCTTGTTAGAAAAATGAAACTGTCTTAGCTGAAGATGACTCCTACCTTGCCCAAAAGTATATTTTTGTCCCCTAGTCCTTCTATTCTCATTATTAAATATGAAAAGTGATGATGCATCAACATTATCCATTCCCTTTAAAATCTAAAACACCTCAATCAGATCCCCCATAACCCTTCTTTTTTCAAGAGAAAACAATTTGGCAGATTTCAGCCTCTCCTCGTATGACCATCCATCCAAAATACCATTCTAGTAACCATTCTCTGAACACTTTCCAAGAATTCAATGTCTTTCCTAAGGTAAGGAGCCCAAGACTGAACACAGTATTCCAAATGTGGCCTAACCAGTGACCTGTACAAAGAAATTATAACTGCTTTAGACTTGTATTCAGTATTTCTGTAGATACAACCTAAGATCCTATTTGTCCTACCACTAGCTACAGCACACTGCTTGGATGGCTTTAGAGCCTGATTGACTATTACCAAGATTCCTTTCCTTCATAACACTGTTAAGGTTATTCCCATCCAAATTATATTTATAATTCAAATTAT